GTATGGGACTATACGGTCTAAGATAACATAAAAGAATTAGTTGAGCTACTCATAGCAATAAGGTGCACCTACCTTTTTGGTTAACTATCCCGAGAAAACTCCAAAGTTAAGTGTGCTAGCTCTGGAGCAATCTCAGGATGGGTGACCTACTGGGAAGCACCTCGATATGCATGCGAGTGAGGACAAAACACGTTGAAATGTCTCGGGTTGCTGTGTGAGGGCAGTTTCGACAATTTGTAGCGGCCTCGGGTCGTTATAGATGGTATCAGAGCCGGTACTCTCCCAGTACGGTGTGGTTCGAGGACGATACAGGCGGAAGCTGGTGGGCCTATGACAACCCAGAGTACCGTAGGAGGGCAGAGAGTGATTGCCGGTGCAGAGGCACGGACAAGGGACGGCTCCTGACGAGCTTCTGGTAGGGGGTATAGGGATGAATCGAACACACCGGAATGAGAGAGATCCGAGGGCTGTATAGGTATGGGACTATACGGTCTAAGATAACATAGAATTGTTGTGGATCAAAAGTCTCTTATCGAGTCTTGGCGTTGAACATTCTGACCCGATGTTACTACTGTGTGACAGCCAAGCCGCGATTCACATTGCCTCCAACGACGTGTACCACGAACGGACCAAGCATATTGAGGTAGATTGTCATTTTCTCCGTCACCATCTCGACAACGGGCACATTGTGACACAACACGTTTCAACGCGAGAGCAATTGGCCGACATCTTCACTAAAGCTCTCGGGAAGAAGGAATTTGCTTGGTTTCTTGGCAAGTTGGGTGTGCGAAACTTTCACTCACCAACTTGAGGGGGGGTATTGGACAAGAATATCCTGTAGATATTTGCGTATCTCATCTGATAGAGTTGATATATTTGTTAGCTAAGTTTGTTTAGATTGCTTTCCTTATTCCTCTAGGGTTTTTCGGCTATATCGTCATGTACATATACAGGCTTCGGCCAAGAGCAATACACAGACTTTTCCCATTCACTGATCGCCATTGTGACAATATATATGCTTAATTTGCATGGACAACTAACATATGCTTCAATAATAAAAGAAAATATGAACCAAATATAATATAATATTCTCATTTTTTCATTCTACAAGTTCCACACACATATATGTGTGTGTACAAGACATTAATTGTCATGAATTTCTTAACAATTTGCAAACTTATATTTATGTTTTACAATAAAGGTAATGAATATTGAATTTGAATTATATTACTCTTGGATAGGAAAAGAATGAGCCTTTTGAAGTATACTCGTTGTTCATTCTTTAAAACTGTAGCAAGTTGTAAATGTATATATATTTGTAAAATTGTATTAAATTAATTCTAATGAAATACATGATTACTTAAAAACAATTGTAATCCCTATATATATAGGGTAAAACCCCTAAAAAACTTTCAACTTTGCAAAAATATATACAAATAAACTTTCAACTTGAAAAAATATGATTAAATCCCCGAACTTGTAACTTGTTACTGAATAAAACCTCAAACTTGCAAATTATTGTTCTAATAAACCTTTGACCACAATTTCTAACGATCGGAAATCTACGTATTGACGGATTGCTGATGTCATTTTTTAAATTAAAATTGATAACGTGTATAAGGTGACATCAACAATCTGTTAATACGTGAATTTCTGATCACCTGAAATTGTGGTCAAACCGGTCAAATGTTTATTAGAGAAATAATTTGCAAGTTCGAGGTTTTATTCAGTGACAAGTTACAAGTTCGGGAATTTAATCACATTTTTTTCAAGTTGAAGGTTTATTTGTATATATTTTTGCAAGTTAGAGGTTTTTTAGGGGTTTTACCCTATATATATATAAATCAATCCAAGAAAAATATATTCAACCAAATAAACAAAGGACAAAATATTTCAAATTATTATTCTATTTAACAATCTATCTTCCTTCTTTTTTTTTTCAAATCAAGAATGATGAAGAAGAAAACAAAGGGAAGGCAAAAGATAGAGATAAAGAAGATCACAAGAGAAAATGATAGGATGACAACATTTTCGAAACGGAGATCGGGTATCTACAAAAAGATCAACGAACTCTCTACCCTTTGCGGGGCCGAGATTGCGTTTCTCGTCTTCTCGGCCGCTGGAAACCCTTTCACGTTCGGAAGCCCTTCTTTCGAATCCGTATCAAAACGCTTCTTCGGTAATGAAAACCGCCTACAAACTCGGCAAAACAACAATAACGCATCACTACCATTAGACATTTCTCTAATCCATGCCCCAAAAAACACGAGGCTTGACGAATTGAGCAGACGATATTGCGATCTTATCGACAATTTGGATGCCGAGAAAGAGAGAATGAAGGCGTTAACGCCATTGATGAACCGGGGGAGGAAGATGGAGACAGTGGAAGAAGAGTGGTGGAGAACTGAACCGACAGAGATTAAGGATGAAGAAGTTCTGGTGAGATTGATAATGAAGTTTGAGGAATTGTATGAGAATCTGTCCGGTCTCTTGGAACAAAGATCAAGAACGTGTTCTTCTTCTCATTTACATGGAAGATAAAAATTCTAGGAACTATTATCATATTATCATTGGAAATTGGTAACTAATTATTTAATGTACCAATACATACTAGATCCTTAAGATTTGCTAATTTAATTGTTTTGTCTAAAGTAGATTTTTTATTTAAATTCTAAATCTTCTTATTTTTTTATTTAAATTCTAAATTCTAATTTTGTTTATTATGTTGAAAGAGGATCAAAATGTGTTATTATTATAAATCTTAGTATCATTAAAGAAAAATTAAAACATATCATTCTTAAATATCAAAGATCTTTTGTTTCTAATAGACTTTGTTCCGTGGAAATTGATATTCTGGTTTTATTGGTAAACCGGATTAAACCAATCCGAACCGGAAATCAATGAAAGCAGTCGGAACGAAACTTGGGAGGGATGATTGGATATTGCTTGTTAGAACCTGGAGCCCAAAAAAAGATGAGAGGCCCAATCCTTTATAATATTCGATAATTGATGGCTCACGCCCATCCCTAGCGCGTTTGCTTCACGCCCCTAAATCCTTTATCAATACATAAATAAATATACCAAATATTAAAATATCTAAAAAAAACATCTTGAAAACGCAGTTTTTAACTATATCATAACTATATGATATGATTGATAATTTTATTCAAATTATTTAAAATTGTTTCATATATAAATTTTATATATTAACGCAATTTAACGGTCTATATTTCCAAGTAATTTTATATTCATATTTTAACGACATTATAAATTTTCAATTTTTCATAGATGAGATATTTTTTTTGGGCACATTTCAATATTTGGTTTAATTTTTTTTTTCAAATTAAAAATTGATATTTTTTTACATTTTGTAAAGTTTAGGTGTTTTTATAAAATTTTCCCTTTAATATTTGTTTTTTTTCCTTGGATTAATAATTAAGTTTTTTTCCTATCTTTGATGGAAACAAAAATAAAAACTTACTACATTATATGATTCATTTGCAAACATAATATACACCTTATAAATTACTCGAAGTAATCGCTTTAGAAAAACTTCGGAGAATCGAAAACAAGTATTCATCTCATCATGAACTTTTGCGTATATTATTCGTACGTATAATTTATTTTCTGTGGAATGATCAATTTTTAATATATTTAAATAAATAAATTTAATTTAAAATATGTTTAAATAGATTGTCGAAAATAATATATATATATATATATATATATATAAAACTCTCATGTCATTGATACGTGAGTGAGTATAATAGCATTCCAAATTATAAAAAAAAAAATTAAAATAGGTCGTCTCTAGGAAAGTTAGATTCGGAATGAATACGACAAAAACTTGTCCAAGACCATAGTGTTTTATTTATTTAGTTTCGATTACTTGTTATTTAACATTTTAGATTTTTAAATAAAAAAACGACATTGTCTCCTTAGCAAAACGACATGGAAATGCCACTATTTTTAGGACAACTTCTCTACAGCCTGTTTTTTTTTTGTCTTTTTTATTTAAAAAAAACAAATAATTTTTAATTTTTCGGGCCAGAGGTTTACCTATTCAGCGTTCCCGAAGTGTATAGCAGTTAAGGGTCATCCGTTATAAAAAAAAAAATATATATATATATATATATACTATATGCAAAAGACTATTATAAAACGGTAATATATGTCTTAGTTCAAACTGATCTAACTTTCCAAATGAGATATTGTAATTCTAAAAACAAATCTCACCTGTTTTGTTTATTTTATAAGTTATGGCTATTTGGGTATAAACATGGCGACACCTACAAATAAAGAAATATTGAAAATGAAAAAAATGAACAAGTTTTATTAAATTATTCAACTAAATATAATATAATCGATGTCCATTCTATAAAAAGGTTATAACTTGCAAAAAATATAACTAAGTTTTACTTGGCTAATACAATGAACCCGGGTTAATAGATTAGCATATATTCTATAATGAGATTACAATTTGCAAATACGTTTTTTAATTTTAAATTTTTTTGTTTTATCTCATTTGATGAGGAACACATAATTACGTTCTCTTTTCGACCAAAAAAAAATCCGAACCAAATGTAAAATATACGTTGTGCATTCTATATAAAAAAAATTTTACAATTACATAAACATATTATAGACCAAATGTAACATATTCGTTGTTCATCCTATAAAAAAATATTTTACATTTACATTTAACAGATGAATCAAACGTAATACATTCGTTGTTCATTCCATAAAATATCATAAACAGATTATACATTAGCATAATTATAATAAATCGCATATTTGCCATTACCACACCCTTATAAGCCAACTCTTCACACAACCTATAAACTCAAGCTCTAAAGAGACAAATAACACACACATTTCCTCTTAACAATGACGATGAAGAAAACAAAAGGAAGGCAAAAGATCGATATAAAGAAGATCGTGAAGAAGAACGACCGGATGATCACGTTCTCGAAGCGGAAATCGGGTATCTACAAAAAGATCATCGAGCTCTCGACCCTTTGCGGGGCGGATATCGCGTTTTTGGTGTTCTCGGCTGCTGGAAACCCTTTCACATTCGGCAGCCCGTCTTTCGAGGCGGTGGTAGAACGCTTCGGGGAAGGAGGAGGAGGAGGAGGAGGAGGAGACGGGTCACGAAAAGATGACGATTCGTCGCCATTTCAGCGTACAATACTCGACGCCCACAAGAAGATACGGCTAAATGAATTGAGCAAACAATATACCAGTCTTGTTGACGAGTTGGACGCCGAGAAAGAGCGGATGAAAACGTTACCGACGCCGGCTCCGGTGGTGGAGACGAAGGAGTGGTGGAGAATCGAGCCAGCCGAGATTCCGAACGATGAAATCTTGGGGCAGCTCTTGTACAAGTTCGAGGATCTGTACGAGAATCTGCGTAACATAATGGAGCAGAGGATAAGAGAAGGTTTTCCATCTTCTTCTTCATCAAATATGAATGTTCAAGGATTTGGTAATGGGCATATAATATAAGTCCTCAAAAATAAAATAAAATAAATTGTCTTTTTTTTTAAATTTACGTAATCGTAACTTGGTCGGGAAAATCCGATTGTAGTAATAATAATAAACAAAAAATGGGTTATGAAAACTAGTAAGAACCGAGTGACCATGTATTTGTTTGAACAACAAGAAGTAATATTCAATAATAATAATAATGATATTTACATATTTTGTGATGTATGCTATCCAAATCATGCATATACATATATATATATGTATGAGTGTATGTATATGAAAATATAAGGATGAAAAAATTAGAATCCAAAAAGAATGTATTTTTGGCAACTCTGCCAATACTGAATCCAAAATGTTGAAAACCCTTCATCAATCTACCATCCAAATACCACGAACCAGTATACCAAATCAAGAAAAGGAAAGTAATAAATACCCATAGATTTGAATACAAAAACAACCAAAACTAATTCTCTAAAGTGGCAAATTCAGATTTTGTATCATAAATGATATATGATTTTCTAAGTCCAAAGAAATTCTATCTTTCTAAAAATAAAGGACCAGACTCCATTATAAATTAACACATACCTCATCAAAAAGATCATCCTTCAAATTTTTGAAGCTGTTCTTGAATCAATCATCAAAATCCCTGCATTTACCATACGAATAATTAAAAATTCGTAAGGGTTGGTAAGTACTTACATTTTTTTTTGAGCCTTGAAGATCTCTTTCCCGATCCCATTTTTCCGCGCGCGCAAAAAAGGCGCGCGCGTTTTTTCTTTCGCGCGCTTTCTCTTCACTTGCTCTAACTGAAACCGAAAAGACGGTTTCCGAAAAGAGAAGGTTCAACGAACTGTTTCCCACAGAAGGCATGAAAATATAGGAAGAATACAAATAATCAAATTGCATCCCTTTTCATATTTCTTTCCCCAGATTCAATCTCATGCCCCCACATATATTCGAATTTTGTTGACAATTCAGGAAGGGAAAGGAAATGGGTCGGAGAAAGATTGAGATGGAGCAAGTGCAGGACACAAACACAAGGCAGGTTACCTTCTCGAAGAGGAGGACGGGTTTGTTCAAGAAGGCGAGCGAGCTGGCAACACTCTGCAATGCCGAGGTGGGTATCGTTGTTTTCTCACCAGGAGGTAAGCCCTTTTCCTATGGAAACCCTAGCGTCGAGGCCATCACAGAGCGATTCATGAATGACTGTGAAGAGACGGATGGAGATGGCGATGAAGTCAGAGCGCAACAAAGGGAGGCTCAACAGGAAGAGATGAACGAAAATCTCAATGTCCTTACCAAAGAGCTCGAAGCCGAGAAGAAACGAGGAGAGACGCTTCAGGAGCAGCTTGAATCGGCTGGAGATGAGAGGTTCCTTAAGCCAATGGAAAGCCTTAGCCTTGACGAGCTCATTGAATACAAAGCCGCCCTGGAAACAATGCATGCTAAGATCAAAGGTCAAGCTACTCAAATGCAGGCTTCGACTTCTCTAATGCTTCTCTCCACCGATAATGGCTCCGGCAAGGCTGCAAAAGAAGAAGAAGAAGAAGCTGATGATGATGATGATGACGACGATGATGATGATGATGATGATGATGATGTTGATGATAACTAGGGCTTTCCATAGCCAAATTGAATGATTTTAGTGTCAACCTCTCGATTTATGCAAAAACATCTTCCTCCCGGTTTATGAATAAAGTTGTGTTTTGACAATATCCAATGTTAAATCAAGCAAGTTACTTGAAATTGGCAATAACCTAGGGTTTTTTTTTACAATACTGAATATCGAATGAACTTAAGTTGATCAAATCACAATTTACCTATGAGCATTCTCCGGTCATATTCCATGATATCCCTTCAAGAAAAGAAGTTCCTAAGTCTGTGTCCAGATCAAATCGCAATTTACCTGTGAGCATTCTCCGGTGCTTCATGGCAGAAACCCATCTGGAATAATCATATGAGAGATCAACGCAAAGAATGACCTAAGTCTTTGAATTTGTTTGATAACAGTAAAAAAGACATGGAAATCTATCGCTGAAAACTTCAATAAAGAGATTGACAGAAAAAATGAATTAGAGACAGAAGACCTAAATGAGAAAGACAAAATTCAAAATGCGACCGGTATACACCTTTATCAGCTGAGTATAAACCGATCATAGAACAATGTTATTGTACAGGAGCATAATAGCACCATGAAGTAGAAATTTCTGGGTCAGATTTTGACTCCTCGCTAGGTTCCGGACAAAGAAAACAAATATCAAGAGAAACACATCCATACATTCTCACCAACAACATCGGTCGAAATATTGAAGAAAATAATAAACCAAATTGAAAGAAAATCCATGATCTGGCATACCTTTTTCTTGGCTCATTCTACCATACCTCGGTCAAGCTCTAACCTCTTCTCAGTGGCTATTACTTCACTTTTTCCTACTATCAGCAGAAAACAAACAACCGGATGTTAGAAATTTCAATCAAGTTGCTTAACCAGAAATCATAAAAAAATCGTTCTATAGAATGTAAATCACCAACAAAAACCCTTTCAAGGGAAAAATCAACATCAACATCAACATCAACATCAACATCGCCTTAATCCCAAGTTTTTCAAGAGAAAAAGAAAGAAGATAAATTCAAGATGTTTGTAGTCATTGAAACTAACACCCTAAAGCAGTAAGAAGTGAAGATGGCCACCATGCGCGAACTACAAACACGGGAAGATTGACTGAAGAGCAAATGCGAATCTACACAACACAACGATAATATTGATGACTTGGATCATTTCATTGAAAATCTTACCATAATTCATCATCATAATATTCGCATTCCAAATTTTCGCATATGCACACATAGCTAGTGAGCTATCGGATTAAATTTGGAAGATGCTGGAGCAGGTATTGTCAACCAAACTCTAATATGAGATGGATATTGGCATGCAAAGTTGGAGCAGATGCAAATTTTACCTCATAGGTCATTGTTTTCCATTTCCCTCCACATGCCTTCCCAATCTAGATGGAACGACAAACGAAAATTCAATGAGGAAAAAAGAAGAGAATATAAGAAACAAATATTACTTTGAAATAATACATGGTAATCATCTACAACCTCGTGCATCGACTTGACATCTAGAATCTTCTCTTGATATTCCTTACGAAATTCCTCCCTGTAAACAACACGGTGAAGCAAAATGAAAAATGAAATGCGAAGATCATTTTGCTCTGGGCAGTATCAAAAGTCAAATCTGGAAGTGAAATAATACATTTTGTGAGCAATAACGAAGACTACAGTGCACCTGTCACAACAACACCCGGTGTATAAACAAATCAGGGTATATAGCTCACAACTTCGACATAAAACATAAAATCACTAGATGAATGAAATACAAAATTGAATTGCACAATGGAGGTGAATAGGTGATAGACCCTTTCGAGAGTAGAGGAGCACTGGAGCAGGGAGGGAAGAGAAGCAGAGGATCGACTGGTTGTTGCAGATTCCATCATGAGTATTCTGTTTCTTACTTTTTCATGTACATACTCGCAGGTTAAAAGTTGTTGCTGCCACCTCAGCATTCTGTTGTTGAGAGAGGCTCTTACTTAGCTACGTATGGGAGGGATTGGGGTTTTTATCGAATGTTTTGAGAAAAGTGTGGGGAATGGGAGAGTGGAGCCTCTCGAATAGCTCTCAAACGTTGTATTTCACTTGTTGAGGAATACAATCTGGGTTTTCTGTTACTAAAACCTTATCAATAGGGTTTCGAAATAGGCAGGCACTCGGTTTTTGTGACTTTTCTGAAGTAGCATGACTCATGCAACACATAAAGAGAATTACTTTTAACTGGTTTCATTACAATTCCATGGATGCATCAGCTTTTGACAAATCTCATTGAGCAGAAAAATCAGCGAAGCAGGGTACATACTCACTCAAATTGACAGTGAAGGTTAAAAAAACTCACGAACAATCAAACCCATGCTTATATTCCTATGAAAATGCTCTTTGCATGTATAAAATAACGAGAATACGTAATTATTCAGAAAGCTAATGCATCTAAACTCATGCTAATGAGCGGTACCAAATTCGCTAAACCAGCGGAGAGACACATTTTATACGTAAAAGGGAATAGCAGATGCAATATTGGCCCTTATAAAATCATCCATATCAAGAAACAAACCAAATACAATCCTATACGCAGAAGATACCTACAAGAGGTAGAAGAAAGCTCTATTGGATTTCTTCTTCTCACATATTTTCGGTTTTCTCAATGACTGGATCTTAAGGACCTCCTGAGTTTATTGTTTGATTTCCTGCTAAAAAGGCTCAAAACACAGTTTCAACAATGAATCGCCAAAATTCATCAGCATGACAACGAAATTTAGCTTCGCCTTTCTATTTCTTATCAAAAGTGGCAAGCGAAAGAGGGCAAATCCTCATCAAAATCACTTTTCACCATTTCAATCTTCAAAGGAAAAACAATAATTATTGCGAATTCTCTCGCTCGATGAACAGCACAGAGCAAAAATCTAACGCAGCCGATTTCAATCCGGCACAATTTCCTACCTAATCACAAGCAGAACCAGAAATCCTAGAGCGAGAAACTTAGATACATGGAAGCAAAACCAGAGGAAAACCTAGCTCATATGAACGCGAAGAAGGCGACGAGAGATTAGCAAAAAGTCATACCGATTGGAGGCGGAAGAATTTTGATGAAGTGGAAGCTTTCTTCGCCATTCTTTACCTTCCTCTTCTTCTCGGCCTCTGCAGGAGATTTTCTCGCTATTTTCCCGGAATCCATTTCCTATTTCACTGTTCGGTTCGGTTCAATTATATTTGAAATCGTTATATTTTGAATTTGTTTCAATTATCGGTTCCATTTTGATTTGGATTCGATTTTATTGATAAATTTAATATTTTTAAAAATATTCTTTTCTTTTGCTTGCTTTTCACTAGGTTTATACTTCGATTTGAGATTTTTCGATTCTAAATAAATTATAATCATTTGACTTTTATATTTTAAACTACAAATACGGATCGATTTAATTATTCGTTTTTATTAATTAAAAGAATAATTTTCCAAAAAAATATTAGACTTGCTAAAATAATAATAAAAAAAAATCTGAACTTGCAAACTTTCAAAATAATGTAGTGACTAGTCCAAAAATATTAAATTTATAAATCGATTCCAAATCAAATCAAACTAATCGATTTTTTCGACAACTAAGATGCCGCGTGGCATTGACATAGTTTGATATTAAAAATTAAAAATTTTTTTAAAAAAAACTATATATATGTATGTACACATATGTAAATATATACACGTGTGTATATATATTTCTATGTAATGTGTATATATATATATATAAATGTATGAATGTATACATATGTATGGGTATGTAAATATAAGTACGTATATGTATATATATATATAGGGGTATAAAACGGATCGGGGATCGTGGGCTGGCTCATGAGTCGGTCCATATTTTTTTCGAGTTGTGTTCAAAATATTTGAGACAAAAAAAACCCGACCAAACGAGTCAGCCCATCATGAGCCAGACTCGTGGCGAGTCAGTTCGTCACGAGCCAGACTGACTCGCGGGCCAAAAAAATTATATATATTATTTTAATTTTAATATTTTTATATATTTTAAAATATTTTTATATACAAATTATATATTTTTATTACATTTTAAATATTTTTTAAATATGAAAATTAGTTTTAAATATTTTTAGTATTAAAATTTTATTTTTAAAAATTATATATTTGGCTCCCGGACCCGCTCCCC